ACGTCCGGCTCGGTCGCGGTCGCTGTCGCTCCCAAGCCTTTAACCCCTGCTTGCACTTACTTACCTCTTGACTCTAGCTCTGTTTGAGGCGAATTATGTCGTAAGGTGCCCGCGCGTCCCCAAAGCATCAGCGACTGCTTCCGAACTGCCTGGGTATCTTGCATACATGGAACGGGGATGGAGAGGGAGTGGCCCGGCTACAGGAGCACCGGTTTGGGAGAGCAGCCAAGTTGCATGAAACGTGAAACGAGGTGGCCTGGGGAGCCTTGGCTGCCATTGCGCTGCGACCCTTAGCGGGCAAGACTTCCTCGGCCGCGGAGGATTGTTTTCCATGGTTTCAGAATGTTTCAGGTGTGCAGTAGTTACCAGTGACAGAAAAGACAACTTCTGCCAGAGCTTGACAAGCGAATGCTTGAGATTTTCGTTTCTTTGCGGTATGCTGCGTCGCAAAAACGGAGGGATCTCAAGTGCACGTGTTTTCAAGCTGGATTGGAAGTCGTCACTCAAGCAGCGAGGCTTTGAGCACAAGCATGTCTTTACAAGGCCGCCGGCAAGCCAAGGGCGAAACATTTGCTGTTTGCTGCTCTACATACATACATACATACATACATACATATATATATATATATATATATATGTATATACATATATACATATATAAACACATACATATGCACAGTTCCATGCTACATAGTCTGTTCTTTATGGTAGAGTTTACTGCAGCTTGCAATGCTTTGCACGGAAGAGGGTGGAGCTTCTTGAGAATTTCCGTCGTTTCTAGCCATGAAGACTTCCCTCAAGACTGGGGCGATGATGCAAGGTAAGCCCTTGTGACAACATAGGCAACAGGCAGCAGTGCCATCACCTCGTTGATTCCAGTAGATAAAGGCTGGAGTATGCTAGGGGATACTCTTGTAAACTCTTGTATACTTTCGTCTTTAGTATACTTTCATATGTTCCAGTATGCTTCATTATGGTCTAGTATACTCTAGCATATTCCAGCGCACTTTAGCATACTCCGGTACTCACTTATGGTTTCGGGAAGTATCGTGCAGCCATGCATACAATGACTTGGTATACTATGGTGTACGTCGGTATGGGATGGTTTTGCATGGCATACTGTACTCGTCATGCCATGCTATGGCATGCTGCAAACCGAGCGAGGACTGGCCACAGTCCCACTGGACGCAGACGCCGGCAAGTGAGATAACGACTCGGAGCTGGCGTATCTTCCGCGAGGACTACGAGCCTGCAGTTGTTCGATCGGCTTTTTCTCACTGGTGGCCTTAGAGCTTACTTACTTCACTTGTACAATGCGCCCCGTGAAACTTAAGGTCGAATCCCCAAACCCTAAAGACACCGAAACGACAAGACACCTGAACAAAGTAGCAGCAAAAAACACCTATAGAACCACCAAACTTACGTAGATTATCCATAAACCTATAGAAACCCCGAACCTATATTATCCATAAACCTATAGAAACCGCAAAACGGGCAAGTCCGAGCAGCAGTGCATACCAGGCAGGGCTCACAAAACTTGAAGTTGGTCCCCAGCAGCACACTTGCCGGGCTTCCTTCGAACATTGGGAGCATTGCAGCACTGAGCTTTTGCAACAGTTTTCTTCCTGTTTGGAGCTAGCTTACATGACTGTGTGCAAAATATTGCGTATTATGATATACGTACTTCAGTATGCCTTGAGATATTATGGAATATTGTAGCGTGCCGTAGTATATTGAAGAGAGGACTTCCAAGCTTTCTTCGGACGTGGCCACTTGTGGCAGCCTCGGTTCATTGAGCTTGGCGTTTCCTCGGCTTCCGAAATTCCTTGATTACCACTACTGCTAGATGTTTCTAACTGCTACTGCTACTGCTACTGCTACTGCAACTGCTGCTGCTGCTGCGACTGCTGCTGCTGCTGCGACTGCTGTGGGATTGTTGCTGCTGCGACTGCTGCTGCTGCTGCTGCTACAGCTACAGCTACAGCTACAGCTACAGCTACAGCTACAGCTACAGCTACAGCTACAGCTACAGCTACAGCTACAGCTACTACTACTACTACTACTACTACTACTACTACTACGACTACTACTACGACTGCCACTGCCACAGCCACAGCCACAGCCACAGCCACAGCCACTGCCACTGCCATCTGCCATCTGCCATCTGCCATCTGCCATCTGCCATCTGCCATCTGCCATCTGCCATCTGCCATCTGCCATCTGCCACTGCCACTGCCACTGCCACCACGACGACGTACCACTAGGCTGCCATATATTGGGTTTAGCTGGCTTTGCTAAGGCGGTCGCCCTTCTTCGTGTTGTTGCTAGTCTTCTTTTGTTTTCGTTGCTGCTGCGTTGCTGATTATTGCTCTTGTCTTTGCCCTTGTCCTTGCCCGTTGCGGTTGCGGTTGTGGTGGTTGTTGTTGTTGTTGTTGTAGTTGTAGTTGTAGTTGTAGTTGTTGTTATTGTTGTTGTTGTTGTTGTCGTCGTCGTCAATGTCGTTGTGGCTGGTGCTGTCGCTCTTGCTGCTTTCATCAAGCTGGCGCTTCTGCTTTAAGTTTACTGGGCAGGAGGGTTGTTCACTCCAGACCCCAGCACAGGTACAAGATTGTTGATGTTGTGTATTAGCTCAGGTCTCGTGACATCTCGGGACGTAAGAACGTCATTTGTCCTCATTTTCCAGGCTGTGAGGGTCCGCTGCCGAGTCGGCCGGAAGTTCGATGTTGCTAATGCCGACAGGCCCTCTTTGCAACTTACGTGTAAGCCGCGGAGCCTCACAGCGCCTCATGTTCGGATTCTTGCACGTTTGACATCGGCTGCACGGTCAGCTACACATGAATTTGCTATGCATCGCTGTCCGGAGACAGGGAGCTCCAACATCCCTGAGTGGAGCTTCAGAGGAACTCCGCGAAGAAGTGAGCTGGGCTAGGGGGAGAAAAGACAAGCCATGAGTTCGCGTGTCCTTGCAGGGTTATTCGAAACGTTGCGTCCTTTGCATGGTGCTGGTCATCCTTCTGCTCAAAAGCAACAGGTTTTCCATTTTTCGCCTCGATCTGTGGAAAACGGCTCGATGCCGGAAGATGTCGAAACAATCCACTAGAAGCACAAAGCGCGTTTTTTTCATGCTTGCTTGCAGTGTAGAAAGCGCGTAGAAGCAGCTTTGCGATGAATCTGAACAGGTTTTGATGTTGTGAGACTTTAAAGCGCGTCTACGCTTGGCGTGGCAGCCATCATGAAGGCTTCATGTGGAGCACTGGGAGGCGTCGAGAGTCGAGCCATCAAGAAGCCCTGTTCTTTCCATGACCGCACACTAAACTCCGCCTTCGGCTCAATCAGCCGTCTGGAAAACATGAAAATCGCAATGGCTTCCGGCCCAAGAGCGTCTTGGCAGACTCTCGGAACTGCAGCGCACAAGCATTGTTGCCAGGCACTCTGACAGCTCAACATTCTGAGAGCTTAGTCGTATGCAATTGTGTGCACAACTTTCAAAGCTCAGTGCCACCGGTTTTGCAAGAAGCACATAGGAAGTCGTTTGCATATGCTTATTGCTGTCACCATTTTGTGTTGCATTGCTATACATTGGAAGAGTAAGGGGGCTTCTTGACAAACAAGCAAGCAGCTTTGTCAATGGCGATCATGGCAGCAGGGGCCTCGGGGCTTTAGAGTTTAGAAGGGTTATACGGGATGGCAATGAGCGTGTATTCCCACCTTTGAGCAGTTTCCAGTCGTGGCAAGGAAGGGTTAAGTGTGATGTCCAGGAATCTTGTGAAGCAGCAGCCACGACATCGTTGCCTGTGGTGGTTGAAGACGTGACGTCAAGACATAATTCAACTTCAAGCATTCGTGGATTTGTACATGTGCCGTGGGCAGTCATGCACACCAGTTCTATTCGTCTCCGTGTCAAGTCTGTTCAACAGCCCAGGGGGAGAGCCATCCAGCCATCAGACAAACCTGTACTCCAAACCTCGAGAATTCCAGTCTTGGACTGCCAGGAGCCGATGCTTTTTGGGGTGGCCGTGCGCCTTCTCCCCAAGGCTTGCTGTGAAACCGGCTTAGAATTGGGGTTATTGTAGTATAGTGGAGTCATGACGCTTTCAAGTATCGACCGTATCGACTACAGCGTAAGACTGTTGAAACATGCCTGTCTATGTGTGATAGTCTGAATCCGCCCGAATTCCCTTGCCATGCTAGAGCTGCAGCGAACCAGGCAACCAAAATCCGGTTGCTTAAGGAGGCGCTGCGTGTGGGTTTGACAGGTATGCTACTTGCGTTGAGGAGCTTTGGATTTGGATTAAACCTCGGATTGAGGGCTGAGAAGTCTTCCAGTAGCATCGTTGCATTGCGGATGCGGCGCTCTTCATAACACAGCAAGACCATTACCATCCGGCTAACTCCAGCTGTCGAACCAGTAGTAGACTCTGATCTGTCATCAAGTGCCGTGATTGATCTAATGTGTTATGCTCCGGCTGCCACTATCTGTGGCAGAACTACAAAAAGGAGCGAACCGAGATATGAAGACCAGCCGGAGTTTGAATTAACTGATATGGTGAGGCGTAGCAGCTAGCAATCGAAACGTGTAGACTGCGTCATTCCTCGGGTTGGATGTTGTCTTGGCGGCTGGCTTCCAAATTTCACTTTCCAGATGCGTTCTGAGACTCAAATCCGCTGCAAGCGTATCTTTTGACAACAACATCGGGTAGGAATACTTGAGATAGAGAGTACCTAGGAAGCTGAAGTCTTCTTCTGCCCAAGCCTCCTACAGTTGGAACTTACCCGAGTCTAGCCGAGGACGCTCGTGGCTTACGAGTGAAGGTACAGCCACAATCTTTGGTCGACTTCATGTGGGGTTTTCGGCAGGCATCTTCCGAAAGCTTCCATGCTCTTCGTATTCATCTGTGGCAACCCTGCAAATCCGACACACAGGTTTCAATGAACTAGTGACTAGTGCTTCCCTGAAGGGCAGCTTTGAAGGAACTGAGCCTTGCCTCCCCTTGCTCCAGATGGCTGCATTGTCTATGCCGCTGCACGTGGAGGATCCGGGTTTCAGGTTTGATGGCCCACATATGGGTGGGCCAGTGGTGAGATGTGTCCGTAATTGTTATAAGCTTGTAGAAGGGAGGAGAGATCATTGTATCACTGCGCTTCATTGCTGGGGGCGAGTTTTTGCACAGCAGCCTCCAGCCATTCTGGGTTTCTCAGCTTGTTGTCTTACTCATGGTGGACCCTGCAAGATTTCTGTTTGAGAACATGCTGCTTCGTAAGAGACCCGCGCCGAAGCCTCAGGTCAGGTCCCCGAGCAAGCTGTCCCTTAGCAGAGCCCCTGAGGGAGTAGTCCAGGCAGCTGCGAACGCAATGATACCGACTAGGTTCGCCAGCAGCAAGAGCCCCAATCCCGACCTTTGCATTGATCACGATGGCTTTTTTTGATGCTTTTGTTGACAGAGTGTGCAACCGCTAGTGACAGGAAGATTGGAGCACCATCGCGTAATTTCGACCTTACAAACCCTACATGCTCAACCCCCTAAACCCTAAGCCCTGACTCTTTGGGCAACCGGTAGAGATAGTGTTTCGCTGCCGCTGGAGGATGATGGTTTTGATGGCGTGGTAGTGGTCAGGGGAATGATGGTTCTTGCTGGTCCTGTTTATTACACCCCGTCCCAACGCTTCCCCATTCCAAAGCCTGAACCATTGCCTGCAAGTGCTATATAGGACTGTGCTGGCTACTGCTGCCACTAGTTGTAGTAGAGTAGTAGTAGTAGCAGCAGCAGAAGTAGTAGTAGTACTGGTAGCGCTGGTGGTAGTAGTAGTCGTAGTAGCAGCAAAGCGCGCTTCCAAGCACCTGGTGTATTCCTGCTTCTTCAGCGGTTTTCCTGCTTCTCCACTGGTTCTGGTGGGTATTCAGTGTGGGGTGGGTGGGTGATGTTAACGTTCAGACAGACACAAACCAAAGATAGATGCAGTCCGAACCAGAATACCTGCAGAGCGAGAGATAGAGAACACTAAGTCTTGAGGTCCTAAACCTTTAGGCGAGCAATGTGCTTCATGTCATGCGCATGCAATCCGGCACAAGGCGGTTTGCCGTTTGCCCGGACTCTCCGTCCGGTAGATCAAATAGTTTGTTCTGACAGCTCACAGTGCGGTCGTAAACTTCTTAGAATCCAGATGTTTTGTTTTGATTTCGACATACGATCGAAACACAGGCCATCTCAGCTGAGAAGGCGTGTCAGCCGTTTATGAAATAGACTTACGTACTAGTAGTAGTAGTAGTAGTAGTAGTAGTAGTAGTAGTAGTAGTAGTAGTAGTAGTAGTAGTAGTAGTAGTAGTAGTAGCCTGTAAGCACTGAAGCAGTGACACGCACAGCGGCGCAGAAGAAACATGTGCCACTCTTCATGGGCTTTACAGTTGTGATCCGTTTGCCAGCAGAGCAAACAGCATTACTATACACACTGAAACTCAAGAATGACCCCGAAACTACAAGTTTAAGCCCTGCGAGTAGTTTCTGGAATTCCTGCTCTTTGAGCATTTTGCAAAATTACGCTAATCCCCTTAGTGGCGGTAGATGTGTTTCATAAAGCGCCCAGGCGCCTCGGGGCGCGCTAGCCTAGTAGTAGTAGTAGTAGTAGTAGTAGTAGTAGTAGTAGTAGTAGTAGTAGTCGTAGTAGTAGTCGTAGTAGTAGTAGTAGTAGTAGTAGTAGTAGTAGTGAGCAGCAGCTGTTGTCTTAGTTGTAGTTATCGGAGTCGTCGCAGCAGCAGCAGGAGGAGTGGGAGTAGGAGTAGCAGGAGCAGTAGCAGTTGTAGTAGCAGTCGTAGTTGTAGCCGTAGCTGTGGTAATTGCTGCGGTTGTGGTTGTTGCTGTGGTTGTTGTGAATGTGGTTGTGGTGGTGGGTGTTGTTCAAGAGTGAGGCATGTGCTATTTGTATTGAGGACACCTTCACGGACGATTTCATCGAGAAGGAGTCTGTGCCAGCGAAGGTGCCGTCCTTGAAACCGTTCGGGCGTTTCGAGCGTCAAGCATGTTTTGGGGAAGTGCTTAGCCTGCAGTCTCTAGCCAAGTGCTGAAGCTTGTTCCAGCCCGCCGTCCAACTTGTGTACATGCATGTGGGCACAGAAGGTGGTCTGCATTCATTATGTGTGTTGTCTATGTTTTTGCCTGCGCATACATATGAACAGATGCAGGTAGGCATATGCAAGCGTTCGTATGTGACTGCGTCCACATGAACTCGTCCAAAGCCTCACTACGTTGGCTTTGCAGGGCGAGAAGGACGAGTCTTGGGACGGGCAGCCGGAGCGTGCGCCGAGAGGCCAGGTGGCAGAACGAACTTCCCTACTGTCGCCAGAAATCCACTGCAGCTCGAAATTGCATATAGTATTGTTGTAGATGGTCAAGAAACATTGGTTGAAGCACTGCATTACCTCATTGCTGTATAATGTGCACAGTTTCTGATGGCATTCTTCTCGTCTTCACATAGCTTCGAGAAGTTTTCCGCGCACACGCGCACACGCGCACACACACACACACACACACCTGTTGGTCTCATGGTTGCGCTGGATATCATCACGTCAATATCCTTGTCATTGTTGCGATTGTTGCCATTGCTGTCATTGTTGTTGTTGGTACAGACAAAAACAAAAACTGCGGCCCGTACTTGTTGTTAATTAGAAGCAATTGGGAATGCTTCCGGCGACCGCATAGGGTGCCTGTAGTGTTTTGGGAAGTGCAAGCCATGGTTTACACAGCAACTGCCCCATGATAGAAATGCGGTCTAGGCTGGGTGGTTGTTGTAAAGGGGGGGGGGTCAAAACAACAGACGGGGCTCCAGTTTTTGCCTCTACTACAGGGGGTAGAGACAAAGGCACCATTGAAATCAGGACTTTGTCTCTACCCCTCGTTGTAGAGGCAAAAACTGGAACCCCGTCTGTTGTTTTGACCCCCCCCCCTTTACAACAACCGTCCACATTACACCACATTTCCACCACAGGAAAAGGAATCTGCGAAATCCAGAAGGGGTTCTAATGGGTGTTGGAAGGGCTTGTCTGGAATTTTGAGGGGTTTGCGTTGGATACCCGTACACTCAAAACTATAGTTACCAGTTGCTATACAGTAGTTTGCACAGGCCTCGCAAATGCATAATCTGCACAGTGGGGAATTGAAATGCACACCAAATCCATTGAAAATACACACCAAAATCATTTCCACTGAAACACACACCAAATACACACCAAATCCATTGACATAGACACCAAATCCATTGAAATACGCACCAAATCCATTGAAATGCACACCAAATCCATTGACATACACAACAAATCCATTGACATACACACCAAATCCATTGAAATACACACCAAGTCCACTGAAATACACACCAAATCGATTGAAATGCACATTAAATCCACTGAAATACACATAAACTTCAATTAAAACACACACCAAATCCATTGAAATACAAACCAAATCTATTGAAAATACACACCAATATCATTGACACACACACCAAATCCAGTGAAATACACACCAAATCCACCGAAATACACGCGAAAAACCATGGAAATACACACCAAATCCAGTGAAATACGCATTAAATCCATTGAAAATACACACCAGACAGTATACATCACAGGCAACCATAGGCACTGTGTTGTTGTTGTTGGGGTAAAACAACATGACGGGGCTCCTGTTTTTGTCTCTACCGAATGTACAGTCAAGAAGCAGATATATGGGTTGACGGGGCTGCAGTTGTGGTTTGTACCCTGTTGTTGTTTGTTGTTTGTTGTTTGTTGTTTGTTGTTTGTGGTTTGTGGTTTGTTGTTTGTTGTTGTTGTTGTTGTTGTTGTTGTTGTTGTTGTTGTTGTTGTTGTTGTTGTTGTTGTTGTTGTTGTTGTTGTTGTTGTTGTTGTTGTGGTTGTTGTTGTTGTTGTTGTTGTTGTCGTCGTCGTCGTCGTCGTCGTCGTCGTCGTCGTCGTCGTGGTTGTTGTTGTTGTTGTTGTTGTTGTTGTTGTTGTTGTTGTTGTTGTTGTTGTTGTTGTTGTTGGTGTTGGTGTTTGTTTTTTGTTTGTTTTTTGTTTGTTTTCTGTTTGTTGTTGTTGTTGTTGTTGTTGCTGTTTGTTGGTTTTGGTTGTGGTTGTTGTTGCTGTTGTGGTTGCTGTTGCTGTTGTTATTGTTGGTGGTGTAATTGATGTTCTTTTGCCTGTTGTTGCTGGTTTTTGTTTGTTGTTGTCGTTTGTTGTTGTTTGTTGTTTGTTTGTTGTTGTTGTTGCTGCTGCTGTTGTTGCCGCTGCTGTTGTTGTTGTTGCTGCTGGTGTTTTTGATGTTGTTGTTGGTGGTGTAATTGATGTTTTTGTTGTTGCTTGTTGTTGCTGACTGTTGTTTGTTGTTGTCGTTTGTTGTTGCTTGTTGTTGTTTGTTGTTTGTTTGTTTGTTTGTTTGTTTGTTTGTGTGTTTGTTGTTGTTGCTGTTTGTTGTTTGTTGTTTGTTGTTTGTTGTTTGTTGTTTGTTGTTTGTTGTTTGTTGTTTGTTGTTTGTTGGTTGTTGGTTGTGGTTGTGGTTGTGGTTGTGGTTGTGGTTGTGGTTGTTGTTGTTGTTCTCTTGTGGTTGTGGCTGTTGCTGTTGCTGCTGCTGCTGCTGCTGCTATTGCCACGGCCTCTTAGTATTAAGAAAAGCTAAGAAAAACCCAAGAACAGCATTAAGCGTGGCCACAGGGGAACAGCCCAGCCGCCCCACTGAAATGCGAAGGGATAGGAAAGCGGTAATGACACTTATGATAAGATCACCATGGCACAGGCTAGAAGGAGTGTTACACTTTCTCATTGTTGTTATACTAGCACGTTTAGTCTAGCCGTGGTTCTTCTTCGCAGTTTAGTTACAACGCGAGGCAGCTCCGGGAAGGATTGGACAGACACCACGGACAAATGGAAGCCGGCAGGTCAAGCATTGACTGTTTCCGGTTTTGTGGCTTTGGGTTGAAGGTTTAGGACTTTACAGTGCGTCGGCAGAGGATTGTGGACTCACGGGTTTGAGGCCTTATCATCATGCAGACCGAAAGCGCAAGCATTTCAGGCGGAGGAGGCAAGTGGAAGCAAACGAGGGCTTGGGAGAAGCCGGCCGCCTGGAAGAACAGCGATTGGACTCAGGCCAGCCGAGGGCTGCATCAATAGTGAAAGCCATCCCAAAGAGTGGCAGTGAGAGCAGCCCGTTAACGAAGCAGTGCGAGCGAACGCCCAGGAACTCGGAGAAGCCTCGCAGTGTGTCGCTTATGCATGTAGTACTTGAGCAACCTCGTGCCAACTGAAGGCCAAAATGAGCTGTTTAAAGGCCAAAATAAGCGCGAGCGCATTGACTCGACTGTGGCGGGAGCACGATGCCATCTAAAGACATGGCACTTTGGAGGGAGGGCTATGCATCAAGTTGGTGAGCACGACAGCCGGGGATGTTACGGCGAGTTCCGTCGAGCGGAACTGCAAGAATGCGGCCTTGGCCGAAATCTGCACCGTGTGCCCTGACTGATGCCGACCACTGTATGTCGCTCAGTATACCTTTTCCCCGAATGCATCACCGGCAATTACAGCACACCGATCCGCCCGCACGCTCTCGTCCAAGCAAGCTCCCTGGCAGAAAAGCAAAGTTAGGGCCGAACACATGTAGCGTGCAGGGGGCCCAAACCCGAGAGCTCAAACCCCATCGTTCGACCGCTTGTCGTTCTGCAGCTTCGGGTCTTCAGTAAATCCTAAACCTTAAACTCCCCCCTAACTCCGTATTCGGAAGTCTTAAAGGCAACTAAGATTGTGAAGAGCCTCCACCACTCCTCCGCAGCTGCGGAACACTCGCAAGGCAGATGGCTGGGAAGCCCATTGGAGCAGTCAAAGCCAGGGCAGGGGACTCGGGGAGGGCTTTGGTATTGCCTTGCACGTGTATCGTTGCTCTCAGAAGATCACGTACACCTTTGTCGTGACTGTCGTTTCTGGGGGTGGACGTTGTTACAGGGAAGGGGTTTACCAGCTTATGCTGCTCCCATTGTCATTATGCTCATTGCCATTGCTTCTCTGTCAACTCTGTGAGTCTTACACTTCGTGATACGGTTTCTATTTGCCAGTGACTGTTGTCAGGTGCTTGTTGTGCCGGTTGCGAACTTTTCGAAGTCTATGAATCAATTGACCCTAATGTCCTAACAAAGTCGATATGCTCAAAGCCGGAGCCCTCGGAGAGATATCTTGAAGGATAACAGTGCCGACTGTGATCGCAGATGTGTCGCAGCACTTAGGCTATAGGGAACTTTGCGGTTCTCCGGTGAAAGGTCATGAGGCAGTCTGCATTCATCTTCTTCCTAAAGGAGCCTAAGCACTTCTGGATGTTTATGAGGAATGTGAGGACTCTGTTAATGGCAGCTTCTGATGCAAGCGCCTTAGGCTGTAGAAGGTTTTGTTTCTTTTTTGGATTTTAGAAGAGTTTGTTATGTTTAGAAGGTTTCATAGGTTTTAAAATCAAAATTATGTTTCGGCTCTGTTAAGGTTTCCAGAACGAAGGGCTCAGGGTCCAACGAATCAAGGGGTTTGGGAGTTGAGGAAGTACAGAGTTCAGGGCTGGGAGATTCTGTTGTTGGGCTGGTTTCGGTTTGGGTTCATTGATATCGTGCTTAAACCCTGAACTCCTAACTCCTGAATCCCAACCCCAGACCCCAAAAGCCGAAAGCGTAAGCAGCAGTTCATGCGGAGGAGCCAAGTGGAAGACTTGGAAGAAGCCGGCCGCCTGGAAGAACAGCGATTGGACTCAGGCCAGCCGAGGGCTGCATCAATAGTGAAAGCCATCCCAAAGGGTGACAGTGAGAGCAGCCCGTTAACGAAGCAGTGCGAGCGACCGCCCAGGAACCCGGAGAAGCCTCGCAGTGTGTCCCTACTGAAGGCCAAAATGAGCTGTTTAAAGGCCAAAATAAGCGCGAGCGCATTGACTCGACTGTGGCGGGAGCACGATGCCATCTAAAGACATGGCACTTTGGAGGGAGGGCTATGCATCAAGTTGGTGAGCACGACAGCCGGGGATGTTACGGCGAGTTCCGTCGAGCGGAACTGCAAGAACGCGGCCTTGGCCGAAATCTGCACCGTGTGCCCTGACTGATGCCGGCGACGTTATGTCGCTCAGTATAGCTTTTCCCCGAATGCATCACCGGCAATTAGAGCACACCGATCCCCCGCACGCTCTCGTCCAAGCAAGCTCCCTGGCAGAAAAGCAAAGTTAGGGCCGAACACATGTATCGTGCCTGGAGCCCAAACCCCGAGAGCTCAAACCCCATCGTTCGAGCGCTTGTCGTTCTGCAGCTTCGGGTCTTCAGTAAATCCTAAACCTTAAACTCCCCCGTAACTCCGTATTCGGAATTCTTAAAGGCAACTAAGATTGTGAAGAGCCTCCACCACTCCCCCGCAGCTGCGGAACACTCGCAAGGCAGATGGCTGGGAAGCCCATTGGAGCAGTCAAAGCCAGGGCAGGGGACTCGGGGAGGGCTTTGGTATTGCCTTGCACGTGTATCGTTGCTCTCAGAAGATCACGTACACCGTTGTCGTGACTGTCGTTTCTGGGGGTGGACGTTGTTACAGGGAAGGGGTTTACCAGCTTATGCTGCTCCCATTGTCATTATGCTCATTGCCATTGCTTCTCTGTCAACTCTGTGAGTCTTACACTTCGTGATACCGTTTCTATTTGCCAGTGACTGTTGTCAGGTGGTTGTTGTGCCAGTTGCGAACTTTTCGAAGTCTATGAATCAATTGACCCTAATGTCCTAACAAAGTCGATATGCTCAAAGCCGGAGCCCTCGGAGAGATATCTTGAAGGATAACAGTGCCGACTGTGATCGCAGATGTGTCGCAGCACTTAGGCTATAGGGAACTTTGCGGTTCTCCGGTGAAAGGTCATGAGGCAGTCTGCATTCATCTTCTTCCTAAAGGAGCCTAAGCACTTCTGGATGTTTATGAGGAATGTGAGGACTCTGTTAATGGCAGCTTCTGATGTAAGCGCCTTAGGCTGTAGAAGGTTTTGTTTCTTTTTTGGATTTTAGAAGAGTTTGTTATTTTTAGAAGGTTTCATAGGTTTTAAAATCAAAATTATGTTTCGGCTCTGTTAAGGTTTCCAGAACGAAGGGCTCAGGGTCCAACGAATCAAGGGGTTTGGGAGTTGAGGAAGTACAGAGTTCAGGGCTGGGAGATTCTGTTGTTGGGCTGGTTTCGGTTTGGGTTCATTGATATCGTGTTTAAACCCTGAACTCCTAACTCCTGAATCCCAACCCCAGACCCCAAAAGCCGAAAGCGTAAGCAGCAGTTCATGTGGAGGAGCCAAGTGGAAGACTTGGAAGAAGCCGGCCGCCTGGAAGAACAGCGATTGGACTCAGGCCAGCCGAGGGCTGCATCAATAGTGAAAGCCATCCCAAAGAGTGACAGTGAGAGCAGCCCGTTAACGAAGCAGTGCGAGCGACCGCCCAGGAACCCGGAGAAGCCTCGCAGTGTGTCCCTACTGAAGGCCAAAATGAGCTGTTTAAAGGCCAAAATAAGCGCGAGCGCATTGACTCGACTGTGGCGGGAGCACGATGCCATCTAAAGACATGGCACTTTGGAGGGAGGGCTATGCATCAAGTTGGTGAGCACGACAGCCGGGGATGTTACGGCGAGTTCCGTCGAGCGGAACTGCAAGAACGCGGCCTTGGCCGAAATCTGCACCGTGTGCCCTGACTGATGCCGGCGACGTTATGTCGCTCAGTATAGCTTTTCCCCGAATGCATCACCGGCAATTAGAGCACACCGATCCCCCGCACGCTCTCGTCCAAGCAAGCTCCCTGGCAGAAAAGCAAAGTTAGGGCCGAACACATGTATCGTGCCTGGAGCCCAAACCCCGAGAGCTCAAACCCCATCGTTCGAGCGCTTGTCGTTCTGAAGCTTCGGGTCTTCAGTAAATCCTAAACCCTATTTTTCCCCCTAACTCCGTATTCGGAAGTCTTAAAGGCAACTAAGATTGTGAAGAGCCTCCACCACTAATCCGCAGCTGCGGAACACTCGCAAGGCAGATGGCTGGGAAGCCCATTGGAGCAGTCCAAGCCAGGGCAGGGGACTCGGGGAGGGCTTTGGTATTGCCTTGCACGTGTATCGTTGCTCTCAGAAGATCACGTACACCGTTGTCGTGACTGTCGTTTCTGGGGGTAGACGTTGCTACAGGGAAGGGGTTTACCAGTTTATGCTGCTCCCATTGTCATTATGCTCATTGCCATTGCTTCTCTGTCAACTCTGTGAGTCTTACACTTCGTGATACGGTTTCTATTTGCCAGTGACTGTTGTCAGGTGGTTGTTGTGCCAGTTGCGAACTTTTCGAAGTCTATGAATCAATTGACCCTAATGTCCTAACAAAGTCGATATGCTCAAAGCCGGAGCCCTCGGAGAGATATCTTGAAGGATAACAGTGCCGACTGTGATCGCAGATGTGTCGCAGCACTTAGGCTATAGGGAACTTTGCGGTTCTCCGGTGAAAGGTCATGAGGCAGTCTGCATTCATCTTCTTCCTAAAGGAGCCTAACCACTTCTGGATGTTTACGAGGAATGTGAGCGCTCTGTTAAAAGCAGCCTCGTAGTAAGGCAAGGGCCGAGACAAACTCTTGCATGGCACCTTCCGATGGTGTTGATGGTAATGATATCGTGCTGGACTTTCTCGGGAGGCTTGGATGAGCGTGGGCTGCGTGAGAAGGGGAGCATCCCAGAACGCGCAGCCGCCCCCGGATGAAGGAACACACCTACGTCATCCTGGACACAAGCCCCACCCAAGCGAACCCCAAACAGACGATGCTGAAAAACGCGCTCCTTCGGAAGGCTTGAAGAACTCGAAAGACACCCTCTCTCCTTGTGGTGCGACTTAGTCAGCTGGGCCGGTGGGACAAAACACTCAGCCGAGTCAGGACGGGGCTGGTCGCATCACCGCCCTGCCGCCATGGCCTTGGATGGCAGTAAAGGGTCTAGAGTCTAGGGTTAGCGTTTTGGAATTTATTGGCTTCGAAGCTTTTGCGAGCCTGCTGAGCGGGTTCACGTGCTGGCATCCATCACAACCAGGTGTAGGCTTAGGGTTTACTTAGAGGCTGGGAGAGCGGTTGGACATTGCAGGCTTGTGCTCAAGCTCCTGGTTCCAAATGGGGTTTAGAGCTCAGGCATTTTAACATGCTATTTCGTGGTGCATGTCAGAGGGAAGCTGGAGGTCAGCTGGGTCCAGTGTTTTTTGGAATCCAGAACCGCAAAGTGTCTGTTGAGAACCCGACACAACCCTTTATGATGTCAGTTCTAAAACCCTGGGAAACCCTGCAATAGCCCTAAATCTTGAACCTTATATTCAGAGCCGTATAACAAGAAACCTGTAAACACAATCTGTTATTACAACCCTATGGTAAGAGCCGCCGACCTAAGAACTCCATAAGGCGAATCCCGTAATATGAGCCTTCTGGTAAGAAGCCTATGCGGGCCCCACAACAAGAACCTGTTTATAATAAGCCCGTAGTTAAAGAGGTTTACAGAGAACCCTACAGTAAGAATCCCGACAGTACGAAGCCTACAATAAACACCTTGCTGCAAGAGCCCTATAGCAAGAACCCTGACCAGCCCTGTTGCGATGAGCAGGTTAAAGTTTAGGGTTTTGGGTTTCGCTGGATGTAGGGTATTGGCTTTGGGGTGAAGGGCTCTGGAGTTTGGGTTCAGGGTTAAGGGTTCTGGGTTTAAGGTTTTGAGTGAAGAGTTCCGGCCCGTGAGGTGCTTCGTCAAACAGGCTTGGAGGTCCTTCACAGGTGCAGAATAGAGCTTGAACAACCTCAAATCCTGCTGGATGCTTGGACAACTCGATAACTCTTAATGACGACCGACCCTCCTTGATTCATAAACCCCCTTTCAAAAGGGCCTTAATCTTAGGATCCCTTTCATCTTACCGACAGGTTCAAGCCGTTTCAAGCCCGAGTTCATGTTGGGAAAGGGCTTATGCAGTCTGTTCTTCGTCGTCTCGCTCTGTTTGTACAATCTTGTGCTATATAGCGTTGCACTTGTATTGTTGTTCTCATTCCTTTCTCACAAGATCACGCATACAGTTGTGATGGCAGCCCTCAGTGCACCTAAACACTGAACAAATTCTTGCCCGCAGGTCCGATGCTTTCACAAACCCTAAGCACCCGGCAGTCCAAAGGTGTCTGCAAACTCTACTGGAGCATTGGGGCTAGAACTCCCGCAGTCTTCACCCAAAGCCCGAACCCTTTGGCCCCAACTTCCTGTACCCGTGGCATTGCTGAGGTTCTGGCATGTGGCATGACGACTGGGCAGCACCAACGTCCAGCCAAAAGCTCAGAGTTGTGGAGTATGCCACGGTCTGTTCTGTTCGACTGGGTACTCCCAGGTCTCTTTGTCTGTTTGCCGTCTTCCATTATCATTGCTCACCACTGTTGCTCATGTGTTATACTGGACCGCGCAGCCTGCTCTCCCCATCTAAGTCTATTTGTAGATGAAGCGTCGAACTGAATTGACTTTGCACATTGCAGGGTGCATTCTGACCCTCGGGATGTGTCTTGCGAAGTTCTTTCCTCAAAGTGTCGCATCAGCGGATCTCCGCATAGCAGTCTCTCTCTCGCTCTGTCTCGCTCTGCGAAATTACACGATGCAATCTGGACAGTTAAGAGCAACCTCGAGATCAATCTTTTTCCCCACAGTCACACTCAGAAGCATTCCTTTGTACAACCAAGCAGTCGTCCAGTCTTGAGCCAATGCCATCCGACAAACCAAACACTCTTTAAGCGCCCGATGGTAGGTGCAATCCATCTAATCCAGGCCCTTCGTAACCGGCACCATCGATGAGAAGGTTTACCAGGCACAGGGGGACTTTGAGGGTACCAAGAAGAAGTGGGTGGGCATTTAGGGTTTGAGGCTTCTTGCAAAGGTCACAGTCACTCTGCGGACACGGACATTGGTGCTTGGTCTTCGGCACATCGACCCAGCTTCCCCCCAAGGCCGTCATTCACAGCATTTGGGGACATCTTTCTCGGATTTGGACCCAAGGGCAGAATGGTCCTCATGTTCGCCAAGTCCACTGCTTGCAAGCAGCGATGCGCTCAGCCATCGAGTCCGCCATGCGAGCAACTGTTGCCAAGCCGGGGAAAGGAGGACTTGGTTGCCATCGAGACCGAAGGGGACGAAGCCAGCCATAATGTACGTGTACACGATGAGGGTGAGGTGGGTAGCATAGGGGTCCAAACAATCAGTCACGTTACTCCAGCAGAGCCATATTAAAACGATGATTCCCAAGCCGAACTGTGTAAATGCTTACGGTCACTGGATTAAGCGGACCATGATGCCTGCAGTCTACGTGCGGAGGCTCCTGCATGAGACCATGCGACCACAAGTCTCGCAGTAATTCTGAGTCCTGAATCCCTTCAACTATGAGCCCGGTGCCCTATAGGGTACCCAGAGGGTCCATCCACCCAAACAGCAGGGTCGGAGGTCACAGACACATTAATTTGAATGGGTTTCGGTACCTGAGCCCGCAACTTAGGTAAGTAGCTTTGATAGATCACGGGACTGAGTGAGTAGTTGTGGGTAGGCTCACGCTTGCGGCCCCGTCTAAGTCACTCATGCTAGCCGGGCGCGTAAAGTGAATCTTTTGATCCTTCAAACACCTTAAGCCCTGAATTGTATTCCTTAAACCGTATCACATAACCACCTTTGCATTGCAATATGTTTATCAATGGCCCGAAACCCTTAAGCCGAAACTCAATGCAGGATGGCCTCTCCACCATGATGGTCCATCTGCGTCTTACATCGTCCTGGCCGTTGGAGCCAGTTTTTCGGTAAACTCTTGCAGCCGGGCATCTTCATCTGATATCTTTCGTAGTTTACAACGGCCAGCACAAGAGCTTACCGGCTTGATATTTCAATCCCACGGTCGCGCCTCTGGCATTTGTTGAGACAAGTCTAGTAAATCGCAAGACTTCGCTTTAGAATCGCAGAGCTTTCCCATGTAGCCGATAGCGAAGGCGGGACATGTACATAGTCCTCGGGTGCTCGATGCTCTCGAGCACACCATTCTAACTAAAGTGTTGGCATGAACAGGTTGCCCACTGCCTGCCAACCTGCAGGTAGTTGCTTTCTCCGGGCCGGAGGCCTCTTTTCGATTCTCGATGCATGTTTCCTCACCGTCTCACGAAATGTGATTGCATTGACGCTGTCGGCGGTGGAGCTTCTCAACACTTGAGGGCCTCGGGATCATCACGACAGAGGTCCTACGATCGGGGTTTGGGCGCAGGGATTTACATTAGGGCCTTCTGTATCCTTTACAGTACCCCGTTACCGAGTGTGCAGGCAGCACAATCCAATAAGCTGAGGTTGTGGCTGGGGTGTGAGTTGTCAACTTCTCCACTGCGCACCAGGTTCCTTTTTCACGAGTGCGCGCCTTAACCCAACCGTGACCCCTGGCACTTTGAGGGCTTGGGTTTAGGTTTCAGGTTTAGGGTTTCGCAAGGCCGATACTTCTTTCTCGCCCGTCGATGGGAGGGCTTGCAGTCCCAAGTATCGATTTGCTTCAGAAGCTCCCTTTGCTTTGCTGGATCGGCTCCACCGCCCTGTGCGTGTCAGACTGAGGTGTGGCTCTGTGAGTGAGTGAGTGAGTGAAAGACAGCTTTTCCTCCCGCAGCTTGCACATCAAGCCGGCTCTGCAGCAAGTCAATCAGTTGTGGACTTGGCGCTGCCGCAGATGGCGTTTGATGCAGGTGCGCTTGCTTCGTATCGAAACGCTGCAGAGAGAGAGAGAGAGAGAGAGAGAGAGAGAGAGAGAGAGAGAGAGGCACAGACAGGGAGAGAGAGATCGAGGGGGCAGGTGAGCGAGCAATGTGAGTTTCATCATGTACTGTACAGAATCTCCCCGTGAGTAGCCGATGTCGAACGAAGCCACAGGCTTGCGTTAAATCCTTTGTGCCCGCAGTCCCAGACCCTCAAAATCATGGAAGGCTTTCTTTGTTTCGCGGGATGTGCGCACGCACAGGGGGGTGTCTGGACAACGGGGCAGGGACCGAGGCAAAATCGCGGATTTTGGCACTTCGACTTGCCTTTGCATTGAAAAACCCAAACAATACAGACGAGCGCCGTCAGATTGGCTGGCGAGCATCCACAAATCTGCGCAATACCGCTTTTGGCGGCATAGGACCATAACCCCGAACTCCTGGACCCACCTCCGCGCCACTACCCTTTGCAACCTGGAAGCGCAACAACATGCCCCTAGGCTTTGGGCTCTTGCCGATTGCCTTGTCGAAGAAGGCTTTCATTATGGCAATGGCAGTGGTGGCCCAAACACAAGGGACAAGCGATGTAGACATTGCAGCTACACACTCCAACCGTGCAAAGAATCCTACTGATTGTTGCAAGCGCAGGGCGGCGCCTGTGACGGGGAAGGTAAGAGAAAGTCTTGGGCTATTCTTTAGGGTTCGATTTGCAGTTTTGGGCTTACGGTTCGAGGTTTTCGATTTTTCGGGGCACCTGATATGCACAAGATGGGCTGATGTGGGTTGCATAGTTTTTTACAAAATCTGGCACGGCTGGCTGTGGCTACCGTCATGTGTGTAGCCAGTTCCTTCACCGGTACAGCCCGCGATAAACCATTAACCCGTGGAAGACAGGATACAGCCCTTCCATGGCGATGGAGCCCTTTCTCACGGAGAGGGAGCAGGAGCCTGAAGGCAAAGGGGCCAAAGAGGCAGATTTCCTGATCTCCAGCTTTTACGGCGAAAGCCAGAGCCGCCTCCTGCATCAGCTGGAGCAAGGTGTGCGCTTCGGAGGGACCACGCGCCCCTCGGAGCAGAGATATACCTTCGTCTAAGTACAAAGATCCTTATATTGAGCCCGTGTAGTGACCCTGATAGCCCCATGACTTTGGTGTTGTTCGCTGTGATTTCCAAGGCAGCATCAGCTTTTGCCATGGCCGATCCTTGGGCATCGTAGCAGGAGCAGCGGGAGCGGCGAGTGCGGCCGCCGGAGAGCCGCGAGGGGGCTGCGACCTTGGCGACCAGCTCTTCAAGGAGGCAGCGGAACAGACACGGCACGGAGTCCTGATCCTGCAGCTGACGATCGACTACCTGCGGCCATGAGCTCAGAGGGAAATAGCCCGAAAGCCACAGCTCCAGTTTCCAGCAGTAGGTCTTAGGAGGAAAGCGCACAAGGACCGCACGGAAGCTTTCATCGGTCCTTCGCATGGTAAAGTCCTTGCATACGCAGCAGTGGCGCAGCCTCCCTAAACTGCCGCAGACCTAGGCGACGAGCCGTCGAAGCAAAAGCCAGCATGTGTGCTAGAGCACATGCAGACGCTGAGCAGACATTGTGGCATGCAGCACCAGACGTCCACAAAACCAAAAGTGCAGTAGGACGATGATGCAGATTGTTGGTTGATGGGTTCATGGACGCATGTAGGGAAGGGTTGGATTGAGCGAACTGGTTGAGTGGCGAACTGCTTGATGAACGAATGGATCTGATCATTTTGGTTTGACATGCTGTGGATTGATGGATTGGTTAGCTTAGTTAACCCACCGGTGGATTGCTTCATGGTGGTGACATGCTTGCTGAAGAAGAGAAGAGGAAGGAAGTTTGTTGTTGCTGATGCTGGTGATGATGATGATGATGATCATGATGCCGATGGTGATGCTGATGACGATGAGCGATGATGGTGAAAAGGACGATCATGATGGTGAGGGTGATAGTGACGACGGTGGTGATGCAGGTCAAGATGGCGGGTCTTATGACCATGGTGATTAGTCTGATGGTCACGGCTGTGATGATGAGGACGTAGGAGGACGATGCAGACTGAGACGGTCGGTGTCAGTGAGTGTGTGGGAGTTTCGTTGGTGGTTTCATTGCTCATGTTCATGTCATGGCTTCAAAAGTCGTCCTTGATGTCGGCTTTGCAATGCTAGTCTCACTGCCGCTGCCGTTATCTTCTGCTTGTATTCTGGCCAGTCTCACATCCGATTGGTTGTGTTTGTTGTTACTTCCCCTACACTGTCGTTTTTGTGACTGTCGTGATCCTTGTGCTGCTATTGCTGCTGTTGAGGTGGTGTTTCTTTTTGGCGTCGTTGTCTTGATGATGATGGCGCGTATGGTGGCCAATGATAATCCTGCTTATGGCGGCGGTGGTGGTGGTGGTGGTGGTGGTGGTGGCGACGGTGGTGGTGTTGGTGGTGCTGGTGCTGGTGCTGGTGCTGGTGCTGGTGCTGGTGGGCGATTGTGATGATGGCGATACAGAAAATCGAGATGAAGGCGTCGACGGTGCCTACGAAGATGCGGAACAAGACACAGATGTTGGCGGTTTCTACTAACGGTGATGATGACTGCCAGTGAGCCCCGAAAGCCCCAACGACCGCAAGCCGCATACGCTGAGGTCGCCGGCCTGCGCCCAGGACTTTGGCTTCCTGCGCAGGCCTTTGTAGGATTTTTTCGGGTGTTGACTGGGTTTTATAGGAACTTGAGAGGGTTGTCAGGGGCCGTACTAGGTTATACGCCGCAATCCCCTATATCATTCGTATTGCTTATACATGTTTTCGGAACTTTCAGGAGCGATGAAGCCCTGCAAAACTCGACCAACAAGCCGTATTCAACCCCATAAACAAACTCCATTCAGCAAGACCCTAAGCTTTGCCCTAAACCCCAAACCCTGAACCCTAAACCCTGAAACCTTGAACCCTCAACCCCCTAAACCCGCAAACTCCCAAGACCCTGTGAGGCCCGAGCTCGTGCACGTCCTAGTCTTCGGTGACAGCGGGCTCCGGATTGTCAGCTACTGACCTGGTTTTTGGGGTTTGGAAGTTTGCGGGTTCAGG